CTGTTGTTGTTGCTTTTCCACAATTTACTTTAAAAAGGAGAAATATTCCCTTGACTTTATTGTTTCACTGTCATGGGACAGAAATAAGTGAACAGTGCTGAAAGTGCTGCGATTGCAGATGAAAGCAAAATAGAAAAATCTTTGATTAGTATGAGTATCCATCTGTTCTCCAAGCACTGATCTTGCAAAAGCGTAACTGACACAGAGCTCCACAAACCCACAGACGGACAGGCAGTTAATCGTGAGGTCTTTGAGAGCACAAAGGGAGTATGTCCTTTACAGAGTCAGCAGTCGTGGGGGAATGAGCAGTTATGGATATTCATGCTCAGAAGAAAGAAAATCGAGTTATGAAGGACATCAGTTCCTAAGCCAAGCTGTCTTGGTTTTAATCCTAGCCCTGCCATTTACTAGCTCAACAGCCTTGGATACTTTTACTTTAAAAAAGAAACAGAAAGAAAAGAAAAAGTCTCCCTGGACCTCAGTTTCTTTATCTGTAAAATGGGGATAATAGAACCTTCCCCACAGGGTTATTCTGAGGACTAAGTGAGAAATGCCACATTGCCCAGCACTTGGCAGTCACTAGATAAATGTTGGCTATTATGACTCTTGGATCTCTTCTAATTTATTGTTTTTATTGCCATCAGTATTATTCCACTTACTTGTTTTACCATAAGTAAAATATAACAGAAATTTGCCAAAGAATTGTTTAGGTCATAACCTACTTAGTCAATTCCTAGATGTAATTTTTTTAAACATTTTACCATCTCTGGATTCTACATGTGTCTTACAATAACTGACATGATGAAATTATTGTTGGCCATTTTTTTAACATTTTAAAGTCTCAAAAACTGGAATGAATCTTGTAACTGATGGCATATTATATTTGATAATCTGTATCACAGAAAAAGCTGACTGCTTTAGAACTTATGATTATACCACAAACTATAGAGATTTTATTGACACCAGCAGTAAACCTGTGACATACTTTTCAATTACATTTTTATTAGTCTTTGTCTAGCCAATCTCATAGGTTACATGCATTAATTGCCTCTTTAAACAACTTTCATTGCCCTTAGGAACACATAAAATACAACATTAAAACAGGTTACAAAAACAGCAGAAAATCCCCGGAAGAGGAAACTGGTGCGTGAGGGAAGTTCAGTCGGTAGATGAAAGTTGAGTAGTTAGATGGACGTGTGGGTGGATGAATGACATGTACGTCGTCGGAGAGGCGTTCTGTGAAGCAGATCATACAGAAGGGCTGCGCCCAGTTGCGGCTGCATTCGATACTCTCTGAAAGCAGTACTTACGGGGAAATGAAGGTCTGAAGTTACGTTCTTCCTTTAACATCTTCTTCCTGTAGACGGAGAGAGATGCAGAGAGAGAGAGGGAGGGAGAGAGAAAGCACTCACTGAAGGGCTAAGGGGAGGTGCACACCACTGCATCTATCTAATCAGTAAGGGCCTTCTCAGTGGGAGAAAATAGCCATATTTGTTTTGTCCTCCTCATGAAGTATTTGTCAAATATATTACTGTTTGAATTACAGGACTGTGCATCTCCACAGGAATGTTTTCTAAAATCATAGCAGAATTTCTCAAAGTGCACATTAAATAGGCTTTTACCAGAACCAGAGGTTTTAGCCATCTCCATACTCACCTCAGAAATCCTAAGTGTCGGTGGTGAGAAGACCAGGCGTACAGCCAGCCAGTCACTGTTGGTAGTACTTCTCTGCACGGTACGATGGGGCATTTATGTTTCCATGTCATATTTCAGGGGAAAGGCCAATTTCATATCATCTTATTTTAAATTCTTACATTGTCCTGCGGAGAATACAAAATTGGATTTGAGGTGCTGGGCAAAACCCATCATGTTCTGAACAGTCAAATAATGACTCTTTCTTTATGTAAGTCTTGCATATTGAATTGAGTAGAATCTTTATTTTTGCAAGGACAAGGAGGTATCCATGCCATTATAAGAAAAGAAAACAGGTTATTGTAATAACACAGCTTGAGCCTGAGTTGCAGAGCCCTCAGGAGCCAAGGCAACTCTTGCCTCACACGTGCCCTGTGGGACTTGTTTTCCCATGTTATCAAGCCCCTGAAAAGTCCAAGGCCCTAGATTCTCCCCTGGATTTCTACAATGGGAAAATTCCTAGTCTTAGGAAATGCAGTAATCCATGGCCTATAACCCCATTACTAAAATCAAAACACTGTGATCTTAGTAAAGGGCATTTTTTGTGCATGTGGAATAGATATTCCCACCATAATATTTAATTTGGTCTGAAATATATGGAAATACACTGACAAGAAGGTATCTACAAACCATTTTGAAGTATCTTAAACTCCTCTGAGCTTTCCTTGCTGAAGAAAGAAGCTGCTAGAATATCAGAGAATACAGCAGGTCCTTGAGTAATGTCATTTGTTCAATGTTGTTTCATTTTTACATTGATGAGAAAGGAAAAAAAATGATTCTTGGCTGGAATCTGTCTGTGTGGAGTTGGTGCGTCTCCCCATGTCTGTGTGGGTTTTCTCTGGGTACTCAGTTTCCTCCCACATCCCAAAGACGTACATGTTAGGGGACCAGGCATGTCTACATTGTCCCAGTGGGAGTGAGTGGGGGTGTGTCTATGAGTGCACCTGCGATGGGGTGGCCTCCTGTCCAGGGTGGCTTCTGCCCTTACGCCCTGAGCTGCTGGGATGTGTTGTGACCACCACTATCCTCAACTGGAATAATTGGGTAAATAATCATCTTACTTATTTTTATTAATCTTTCTTAAATGTATATGTAGCTGACATTTATTTCCATGTTTAATATTAAAAGTGTTTGGTCTTTATTTAGATATTTAGTGATGTTTTTGTGACCAGACGTATGCCATAGAAAGTTAACTCTTGTTTATATCAATGAACCTTTGGTAAATTGGTTTTGTTGTACGTCATTTTGCTTAAAGCCACAGTTTCCAAGAACCTGTCAATGGTATTAAGTGGCACTTATTATATGCCATTGTCCTCTCCCTCAGTTTTCTGATTTATAAAATAAGGCTATTTGCGTTGGATGATTCCCTAAAACCTCTCCCCTCCACAGTTTTAAGAGGCCATGATTTAATACAACGGAGCAAACCAAGTCACCATAAATTTGGTACTGACTCATTGAAGAGGATTTGTTCCCCTAGGGCCATCTTTGTCACTGGTAGAAGCACAACAACCTGCCTCAGTGCAGTTTCCGTATATCTTAGGCATTAACCTCAGTCTGGTTGATTATATCTTTTATCCTGAGATACTCCCACTCATCCAGATTTTTAAAGAGTTAGGATCATGGAGGCTGGATGCAGTGGCTCATGCCTGTAATCTCGGAAATTTAGAAGGCCAAAGTAGAAGGATTGCTTGAGCCCAGGAGTTCAAGACCAGCCTGGGCAACATAACAAGACCTCATCTCTACAAAAAAAAAAAAAAAAATCACATGGTACAATCATTTGTCTCCAAATAAAAGTAATCCAGTATTTTCCCCCTACCTAATTAGGAAAAACAAAGGAAGTGGTTTTACCTCATGCTTGTGAAAATATCACCTGCTCTGATCCAAATATCAGCATCAACTTTGTCCAGGTTTGCCTGTGAAGAAGGTTGAGCACATCAGCTTATCCTTATTTAACTTGTAACTCCAGCCGTAGCCTCCAGCCTCTGTTCCACCTCACTCTCTAGGGACCCTTGAGAGTTTCATTTCCTACAGAGTCTGTCTGCTTTTGCAGCTAACACTCGCCCTGCTTTCCCGGGTGCATTCTTGGTAGGTTGTAGGCATTGATTACATTTTTCTCTTCCTGCTCTTTAGGGGTCGTACCCCTTGCTTGCTCATTTGGGAAAAGTATGGTGCAAATGTTCAGTCTGTCCCTGATGTCTCAGATACCTTTATAAACAGTGCCCTGTTCCACAGCACAAGAGGTGAAACATTAAAGGAGTTGGCTGTTTTTATCCAACATTCCTTTAGCAGATTAGTTGGCATATTCGGAAGATGAAGGCAAATTTAATCCAGAAAAGCATAAAAGTTCATGACCAGTCCGAGCAAATAACTGGAAAAAAAAAATCCTTTAAAAGGCTAAGAAGAAAGAAGTTCAAGGCTATTGCAAACACATGATCATCTTTTTAAATGTCAAATTCCACCCACTAAACTTCATGCTGTTGTTTTTACCACCCTCATATTTTTTTAACTTTATGTTTAATTCTTCTATTTTAAAATAGTGAAATCCCATCCCCCTGCCTTCTCCAAAGGCCAAGCATAACATGAAAATACCACAAACACTCAGTGGGTAAAATGCAAACGGATTATGACTTTGCTTTTGAAAAGTTTGTGTTTAGAGCTTTTGGTTCCCTCCCTTTAACATGAAGGAAGATAAAGCTTTAGCTTTAAAATGCCACCAACGTTCGGTCAGAAAAATCAAGAGGGTCCTGGTGTTATTTCTGAGAAGTTATCTTATACTTAGCAAAGTAAGGCATTGCCTCTTTTTGTAAGCCTGTAGATTGCAGGAGGTATGGGATTGAGAAGGCTTATGTTTAATTATAAACTTAAAAGTAGAAGCTAGTTATCTCAATAGTATAAGTTTTATGATAATATTCTTGAAGCCAGAGGCAGTATAACACAGCAGCAAAAACATTGCTTTGGGAACCTTGGAATCAAAAGACCTGGATTCCCGTTCCAACTTTGGATCTGTCTAGCTCTGTGTCTTTGAGGAGGCCCTCAAACTTTCTGTGAATTTCTTTTCCCATCTATAGAATAAGTAAAACAAGAGCATTTCCAAGGTAACTTTTTTCTCTTAAAATTCACTGTGGGATCCTCCTCCTTTCATTTCAGTCAGCAATTCGTGGATTTTCAGTTCATACTGAATGGTAATTTTCCTTTGCTGTGGGAAGCTTGGCTTTAAGCTTCACAAGTTAGAGTTTTGTTCTCCTCTCTCTTCATATTTGACTTCTCTCATGATATTCTATTAATTCCAACTACGTTTGTGTTTACAGGAGAAGATTCTTCTGTGGCTTCTTCAGTTTATGCAAGAACAGGGCATCTCATTGGATGAAGTGGACCAGGACGGCAACAGCGCCGTTCACGTAGCCTCACAGCACGGCTACCTTGGGTGCATACAGGTACACAAGCCCTGCTACTTTGCAGAGAGAATTGAGTGTATCAAGTAATAAAAAAAAAAGTTGAAATTTTGTTCACTGGGAGAATGTATGGATTAAGTCGCCTTTTATAGTAGACAATAAGGAATTATATTGATTTATTAGTATTTCTAGAAAGCCACACGAATGTAGGTATATATAACCCTAAGAGTTTCTCCTTGAGGGTCACAGAGTGTTGGGAGGGACTTTTCCTGCTCCCTAAACACTACTCTAAAGTCCCAATGCTGAGGACAGTAGACACTAAATACCCCCATGTTCTCAAGACACCAGGGACAGACATCTCTCAGTCTGTCAGGTGGCAGACAGTTCATGCCCTCATTGGCACATCTCTCCTTCCCAGGTATGTGAAAAAAAGGACAGATTTTTCAGGAATGGATTAGAAGAATTTTTTCTAGTAGGGAGTGGTAGTCTAGAAAAAGAATACTATGGTTTCTCCCTTTTTCTGTAGTAGAACTGAGTTTCTCAGTGGTGTTCAAAAAGGCCAAGAATTGGCCAGGGCAGCAAGGCTCAGCTGTTGATCCTCTCAGCCCTTGGGCAGGGCAGCCAGGGTCTTGGTTGTCCAACCAGTCCACTCAACAGCCCCAATTTACCTCATCTTTTTAGCCCAACATGTCTTCCAGATAGTATTGTGTCCAGTGTGTGCAATGATGTCAAAAAGTTGGGGAGGAGAGCCACAGGAGAAGGGAGGGAGGCTTGTGCCCCTGCCCCAAGCCACAGGAGGGGTGCTCCAAGAGGGCCACTGAGAGAGTGGGGGGCTCCTGTGGGAAGAGGAGGCAGCGTCTCCTCCCTCCGCCAAATGCAGGGCTGCCCAAAGCAGAGCCAAACCCAGTGCCACCATCAGAGCAGCACGTGGCGGGAAAGCCCAGTGGGGGCGGGGCGGGGGGCATGTCCAGAAGAGTCTGGGGTACATGTGAACATAAATAGCAGATAGACCTTTTCCTAGAAAATGGTGAAGGCCTCAGCACTAGAGCAAAGAGAGGGACAGCTGAAGGAAAAGGAGCCGGTAGAAGAGGCCAGGCAGTATGAGGAGAGGAGAGGCTTTGAATTAGAAATAAAGTTGAAGCTTGGATTTGGCCTGGAATTTTATTTCCAAACATAAATCATAATTACCAGAATCAGACAAATCCATTCTTATCATTGAAAATGACCCATCCCCTATGGATTTGTTCCCATAGCTGCCTGGGATGCAGGAAGGGGAAATTGACAACATATGGTTGAAGGTCATGTTTAGAGAAAATACTTTTACCTCAGCACATTCATACAGTTCAAAATGTGTGTATATAACATGGAACATATGACACATTTTCCACCTCCAAGAAAGCACTCTTTGTGGCCTTATCTACGTGTTGTTTTCCTATATGGCAAACTCAGTGCGTTCATTTACACAACAGGTACTAGCTGAGGTCGTGCTGTGTGCAAGGTGGACTCTCCGAAACACAAAACTGGACCGGGAGAACCAGCTGCTCGGGCAGGCAGAGAGGACTTAGGAAAGGCCAGGAGGATACATGAGGAAACTGTACATACAGAAGGCAAGAGATTAATAAAAACAAAAAGCAGAGGCCACAGCAGAAATCTCCCTAGAGGGCCTACTCACATGAAACTACTCTTTGGACAGCTAACTTGATAGGAAATATTCCAGGTATCCGAAAGTTTCCCTATTATTGTTGGCAAAGCATGCACCTTCTAATTTAAGGCACCAAGTTTTAAAAGGAATGATAAGAAATTAGAGAGTACATAAAGGAGAGAAATTTAAATTCTTCACTGAATCTGCTGAAAGATTAAAGAAGTAGCAGTATTTTTTTTGTGGAGGAATGGTAACTGAATAAACACTGAAAACTATACTTTTCCATTTCACAAAACACTCTAATATTTAATAGTCTTGAAATAAACCTTTTATCAGCTAATAAATGAGTGAAAGCCAAAAAAAACCAGCTGGTATCACTAATTCTCTTTGAGATTTTAGTTATTTTTCTTTTTATTATGTGAAGAAAGACCGTCTGTCCTTCCAGGGTATTTATCACTCCACTTTGCCAAATGACACTTCTGGCACTAGATGCCACGCATGTGGAAACTTGGATAATCACAAAAGAAGGTGTAAGATTAAAAAGATAAAAAGAGACTGAGAGTAAGCAAAGGGACCCCATGAGATGAGGAGGGGGCTGAGTAAGGAAAACAGTGGAAAGAAAACGCCAGAGGTCAGAGAAAAGGAGGAGTAATAACAGTGTATGTTTACACTGCGTCTCTTCAGCTCCGCGAGAGCTCAGTGCCGACACGGTCTCTGTGACACTCCTGTGAGGCAGGTGGCGGTGACTTTATGGCGAATTGACCTTCCATGGGGAGTGAGCATAAACAAAAGGGAAATGAAGCTTCTTAGCAACCTCTGAGCCTAAGTAGTCTAAGAATTTAAATACTACAAATATTGCTTGCAGGGAAAAACGCCACTCACTACCGAAATAAATCCGGAGGTTTGCAATCTCATCATGATGTTGTCGAAGAGTAGAGCAGATTGTGGTGGTTGATGAATATTGACATGACAACTTTTTGTGGAATCTAATGATATCACAGTATAAACACAAAACAAGTGGTTCGGGTTTTTCTTTGAATTATTGGCTCAACCATGCTCCATCAAATCTCTCTCTCCTCTACTAATGTTACCTTGGCCAGATTCTATAGCTTTGTGCTTGCTTATAACAATTAAAATATACTCCAAACCAGTTTAAAATCTCAATTTTATTTCTGATTCGAAACATTCTTCTTCCCAGCCCAGGTTAGACTCTAGGTTCAAGGGACTTGGAATGGGCAGGGAGGCACAATCGGCTTTTTACACACTTTTGCTCCTATTCCCCCATCCCTTCTGGGTTGTGGTGTCGGGGACAAAAGTCAAATGCCTCGTTGCTTAACTGGGAAAGGCATGGCACTTCTCTGACAGTTGTCACTGCTCCTTTGGCTGACTGTGGCTACGGCTGCCCTCTGCGGCAGCCTTCAGGTGCTGTCTGGTGGGAGCCAAGGGGAGCGGGTTCAGAGGGCTCTTTGGAGCCTCACAATCGTCCCTGACAGGGAGAACTGGGCCCAGCTTCACCTCCTCCTCCCCTACAGAGCCCCCCCAGCGGTGGTGTCCCCCACTGCCGACCGCTACTGGAGAACCCTCTCCTGGTTAGCGGGCTGGTAACGAGCTCGCACCAGGCTTCCTTCCGCAAAGTCTGCTCAATCCAGGGGTGCACGTTTGCCGTGGCACGCAGTGGGGGTGGGGGCTGCTTCCCAGCCTCTCCGCTCTCTGCCCTGGCATTTCTCTCCAGTTCTTTGTGCTCCTGATCGGGTGCGCTCAGCCACAGATCAGCAAGCGTCATTCCAAAGCAGTGACCAGCACACGAGCGAATAGGAAGAGGTAAAATTCCACTCTCTCAGTCTTACAGGCATCCCCGACTTTACGAATGATTCCCTTGGAGCCCAACTATCAAAAGGAACGAAACATCTCCCCACAAAGACTGCACTCCTTGTCTCATGGAGAAAAGGGCTGTACAGACAGCAGAACCTGCTCCCCTTGCCAGCCCCCTCCTCTGCAGGCTGCGGGTGGGGATCAGTAGCGGCAGGCTTGGTTCTGCTCCATCTTTGTAGGTTCTGAAGGGAGGTGCCTGCAACCAACTACAGAGAGGTCGCTAGAGGCTCTTTTGTATGTGCTGCTGCTCTACCCCGGCCCCGACACCATGGGCTCTGATAATGGGTTCTGGAATAACAGGAAAAGTCCTATTCAACATTCTGTTACAGTCATTAAAAAATAACGTTTACAGGGAGGTCCTGATACAATCACATGTCTCTGCATTTTCTGACAGACCTTAGTTGAGTACGGAGCAAACGTCACCATGCAGAACCACGCCGGGGAAAAGCCCTCCCAGAGCGCTGAGCGGCAGGGTCACACCCTGTGCTCCAGGTACCTGGTGGTGGTGGAGACCTGCATGTCGCTGGCCTCGCAGGTGGTGAAGTTAACCAAGCAGCTAAAGGAGTAAGTGCCTGTTGGTTCCGTGAGAACAAAGTCTGACTTGTTGTTGTTGTGCTTGGGTTCCAGCCAGGTGCTGGGGTAAGCCGCCTTCATTCCAGCTGTGCAGGGAATTCCTGGCGTTCTCCTCTTTCTCCTCGTCTTCTCTTCCCAAGTCCTCACAGCTGGGGCTCATGCTGAAGACGCCACCTCTGCGGGGACAAGATGATATTCACACAACAAGGTGCACAGCTCCTGAGCAGGGAGTGTAGGCCACAGGCACAAGGAAAGAGAGCCTCCCTCCGTGTCACCTCTCAGGGCCAGATTACATGGCAGGGTGCTGACAGCACATACAGCGTCATCTTCTCAACTACTGTCCCCAATGTTCTAGGAAATCATAGCGCATGAGAGAGAGAGAAAAGCTAGAGATGGACCAGTTTCTTAGTTTTCTCAAAAAGGAAAAGGTGTTTGGGAAATTATAGATAAATAATCTGGTGACCATCACTAGCAAATTTATTATAAAAATTAAGCAGACGGCTTTAGGCCTGGAAGCCCTACAGGTTGCACTGGTTGTAGCATGATGAGCTCAGTCGGTACTGGGTATGACCTGTCAGCCTCTTCATTCTCTCCAGAAGGAAGAGTGTTTCAAGCTGAATATGCTATGAAGGCTGTGGAAAATAGTAGTGCAGCTATTGGAATCAGATGTAAAGATGGTGTTGTCTTTGGGGCAGAAAAATTAGTCCTTTCCAAACTTTACCAAGAGGATTCCAACAAATGACTTTTTAATGTCGATCAGCATGTTGGAATGGCGAAAGCAGGTTTGTTGGTAAATGCTCATTCTTTAGCAGACGTAGCAAGAGAAGAAGCTTTCAACGTCAGATCTACCTTTGGCTATAACATTCCACTAAAACATCTTGCAGACGGAGTAGCCACGTACATACGTGCACATACTTTCTACAGAGCTGTTAGACCTCTTGGCTGCAGTTGGCTGCTAGGGTCTTACAGTGTGAATGACGATGCCCAGCTCGACAGGACTGACCCGTCAGGTGTTTCATGGAGTTATTGGGGCTGTGCCATTGGCAGAGCTGGGCAAGCTGCAAAGACAGAAATAGAAGCGCTTCAGGTGAAAGCAATGACCTGCTGTGATATTGCTGAAGAAGTGGCAAATAAAACGTACACAGTACATGATGAAGTTAAGGACAAAGCTTTTGAGCTGGAACTCAGCTGGGCTGGTGAGTTAACTAAAGGAAGACATGAAACTTTTCCAAAAGATATAAGGGAAGAAGAAAAATATGCTAAGGAATCTTTGAAGGAAGAACATGAGTAGATGATGATAATATGTAACCATTTACTCCAGCAGCTATTCTATTTTCAATTTCTACTACAGTTCCATGTAATTATTTAGCCCTGTGGATTAGACATAGTCGCTGACCAACTTTCGTTAAATTTTCGTCTTGTAAAAAAACAAAGAAAAAATTAAGCAGATGATTCATGAATCCTCAGAATATAAAATAGTGTTCAGTCAGCATGAAGTTATTTAAAACACTCTGTGATTAACTAAAGTCAGTTCGTTCCTTGATAAGATTATTAAACTGTTACACAGTGCATTTCTGGATGTCAGGGAAGTATTTCTGGGGATTATCATGATATGTTTGGAGAAAGAGGGGCCAAATGGGAGTTCGTCAAGTAGGTCTCTGGCAAGTTGAGGGCTTAAGAATCTAATGCCCGCCTGAGGGGACCCAGGCCAGTCCTTGGCAAACACACCATTTAAATTACAGTTGCCGTGTTGGGAAGGAGTCCCTGAAAAATTGAAATCAATATTCAAAGTAGTGTTGACCGATCAGGAGGAGGAACCTTAAAAATTAAATTTTAGAGGGAAAATATAAAGTCTTACCTTTAAGTGTTATATATGTAAGTTTTATATGTCTGAATACAGCTCATTTGAAAAAAGGCCTATGGTGGTAAAAGGCCTTAAGTGATTATAATTCAAGCAATAGTATGATAAGGTCTTGGACCCTCGTCTCTTCTCTAAGCTTGGGGAAACCTCTCTTATCTCTCTTAGAGCTACAGGTCTCTGTGCCCCTCCATCTCTTCCCCCTGCCAATACTTACAATAATCTTTTTTAATGAGTTTAGCCTTTTACTAGAAAAAATAAATAAAATTTAAAACTTAAAACATAAACAGGCTACCACCAAGCATCCTCTGCCCGGTTACACAAAACTTCCCCAGGTAAGATGAACTAGGTGAGCTTAAAGGTCTCGATGCAATTGAAGGAAAAATGCACACAAATTAATAACTCAATACGTTATCTTTCCATAGTGAACATACTTGTGCATATACCTTTATGTACATGTATAGATATTTCTAAAAATAAGTTCCTAGAAAAGGAATTGCTGTAATAGAACAAAAGGCATGCATATTTAAAACGTGGATAGATGTTAACTAATATCTTTCCAAAAATTCTGTACCAATGTCTGCTCCTTCTAGTAACGTATGGGCATATTAATAAAGAGGAGCTTTAAAATGATCCAATAGAATGTGTTTTCTGAAGGTTCATACTCAGAGAAAAGGTCACAAAACATTCTCCTCAGTCTCTATAGCATGAGATCTAAAATACTACAACAGCTATTTTACTGGTGAACTGTGCAAGGTCAGGGTCTTGTCATCTTTCTTGTTTGATGATCCTGGGATAAAGTAACACATATATGCTAATGGACAACAGTCCTTCAGTTGTCTCCAAAGCAGAATGCTGTAGACAGTTGTAGTTGGGCCAATGACAAGATAAAATATGAAGCCAGGTGTCGTGGCTCAGGCCTGTAATCCTAGCATTTTGGGAGACTGAGGCAGGAGGATCACTTGAAGCCAGGAGTTTGAGACCAGCCTGGGCAGCATAGCAAGACCTTGTCTCTAATCCTAGCACTCTGGGAGGCCAAGGCGGAAGGATTGCTTGAGCTCAGGAGTTCGAGACCAGCCTGAGCAAGAGCAAGACCCCGTCTCTACTATAAATAGAAAGAAATTAGCCAAACAACTAAAAATAGAAAAAATTAGCCGGGCATGGTGGCACTTGCCTGTAGTCCCAACTACCCGGGAGGCTGAGGCAGGAGGATCTCTTGAGCCCAGGAGTTTGAGGTTGCTGTGAGCTAGGCTGACGCTACGGCACTCTAGCCTAGGCAAGAGAGTGAGACTCTGTCTCAGAAAAAAAAAAAAAATACATTTAATACACCTAACCTACCAAACATCATAGCTTAGCCTAGCCTACCTTAAACATGCTCAGAAAACTTACATGAGCCCACAATTGTTCAAAATCATCTAACACAAAACCTATTTTATAATAAAATGTTGAATAACTAATGTAATTTATTGAATATTGAAAGTGAAACATAGTACACAAAACACAGTTTCTACTGAATGTCTATCTCTCTCACACCATTGTAAAGTCAAAAAATTATAAGTCGAACCATGATAAGTCGGGGACTGAATGTATACTACACATAGTATTTTGTAATTTCCTTTTTTATTTAAAGAAAGTATACTTTATATACACCTTATATATATACTTATATATAAGTATACTTTATATATATATACACATATATTAGGGAAACCTTTTCTATGTCCATAGATATTCAAACATATTATCATTTTTGATAGCTGTAATTATACAAATATTACAATTTGTTTACTCAGACTTAATTGATAAGGATTTAGATCACTTATAGTTTTTCACTGATATTAACAATAAACATTTTTTGGCTGTACTGTTGATTGTATCCTTAGGAAAATTTCTGAACAGTGAGGATGAAGATTATGTACATTTTAAAGCTTTTGAATTTATTGCAACTTACTGCAAATTATTATGAAGAAATTCTACCTCCAAATGTATAGCAATAGCTATGTATCAGAGAGCTTATGTGTTTTGATTGTGTTCCCCAGACAGACAGTGGAACGTGTCACGCTGCAGAACCAACTCCAACAACTTCTGGAAGCCCAGAAATCAGAGGGCAAATCACTCCCTTCTTCACCCAGGTAATACCAGACACACAGGTGTTTAGAATTCTTAACTATCTTAAATCTCTGAGCCTTCTTCTGGATTTCTTTTAATATGTTTTAAGAGGATGACAGCAGAAAACATTTTATTCTTATAAAAAGGAATAAAAATGAGAAATCACAATGCGGTGGGCACTGGACCTAGGGTCTGGAGGCCGGGGCTAACCTCTGGCTCTGCTGTTTCTTTGTTCCACCACTACAAACAAGTCACTTGCTTTTGAGTCCTTCGATTCCTCATCTATGACATGGGAATAAGGATATATAGCTTGATAAGGTTGTTGAAAATGGGATTAATTAAGAAAATTCATGCAAAATAAAAAACAACAGATAGACTTAGTAGTCATAGTAGTATGTAGCATAAGGCATGAGGCATGCTATACTTTGGTTATGGCTGCTACTGTGAAGTATGCACATGGCTTTCAAAAAACATTAAATGATTATTCTTATTCCATTCTTATTTATTTGTAAATTAGGAACAGCAGTAAAGGCCATGAAGTGACTCGTGGCTGCGTCATTTTAACCCAGTAGGAAATCATCTCATGTGTTTCTCATCCTCTTTTCAGTTCACCATCCTCACCTGCTTCGAGGAAGTCGCAGTGGAAATCTCCAGATGCAGAGGATGAGTCTACAGCCAAACACAAACCAGGAGTCCAGGAAGGGATTCAGGTTCTTGGAAGCCTGTCAGCATCCAGCCGGGCTAGGGCCAAAACAAAAGACGAAGATTCCGATAAAATCCTACGCCAGTTATTGGGAAAAGAAATCTCGGAGAATGTCTGCACCCAGGAAAAGCTGTCCTTGGAATTCCAGGACGTTCAGGCTTCCTCTAGAAATTCAAAAAAGATCCCTCTGGAGAAGAGGGAACTGAAGTTAGCCAGGCTGAGGCAGCTGATGCAGAGGTCGCTGAGCGAGTCTGACACGGACTCCAACAACTCCGAGGACCCCAAGAACACCCCTGTGAGAAAGGCTGACAGGCCCAGGCCGCAGCCCATTGTAGAAAGCGTGGAGAGCATGGACAGCGCAGAAAGCTTACACTTGATGATCAAGAAACACACCTTGACATCAGGACGCAGGTTTCCTTTTAGTATCAAGGCCTCTAAATCCCTGGACAGCCATAGCCCATCTCCCACCTTGGAGAGCAGCGAACCAGACTTGGAATCCCAGTGTGCAGGCTCGGGGAGCACTCCTCCCAACCAGCCCTCGGGGGACCCCACTCAGACCAGCCCTGACAGTGCCGCTGCCCAGAAAGTTGCCACGAGTCCCAAGAGCGCCCTCAAGTCTCCATCTTCCAAGCGCCGGACGTCTCAGAACTTAAAACTCAGAGTTACCTTTGAGGAGCCTGTGGTGCAAATGGAGCAACCTGGCCCTGAACTAAGCGGAGAAAAAGATAAAGAAAGGGGCAGGATCCCCCATCGGGCCCCCGTGAGTAGCGAATCAGGGGATCAACTGAAACGGCCTTTTGGGACCTTTCGCTCCATCATGGAGACGCTAAGTGGCAACCAGAACAATAACAATAACTACCAGGCAGCCAGCCAGCTGAGGACCTCCACACTGCCCCTGACCTCGCTCGGAAGGAAGACGACAGACGCCAAGGGAAACCCTGCGAGCTCTGCTAGCAAAGGAAAGAACAAGGCAGTGAGTGCTATTTGGAGATTATCCTTTTTCTTCCCTTGAATTGATCATGTGGTTCCTAAGCCTACAGATTGTTGACCTGTACCACCCTGAGGGAATCCCCAGAAAAATTCCAAAGGGCTGCATGGAAAGCCAAATTCATGTGTTTCTACTGACATGTCAGGTTAGAGTATATACCCCTTGCTCTTCCTTCAGCAAATATTCTGAGAAAGGTAAATAAATCACAGGAGATTATATTCCGGTCCCTGAATTTCCCTAAATGGCTTAATCCTTGGGTGTTAGGGGTCCTAGACTGGGAGGCATTTCTGCAAGATGAAACTACCAAGCAATGCAAAATTAAGGTCCTTCATTGGCACTGATTCTGTCTTAGGAAGAGTTTGTTCTCTTCATGGGACTGGGTAGTTTATTCTCAGGCCAAAATTAAAAAGCACATAAATAGAAACTCTATTTCTAAAGACTTAACTATTCAACTTTGGAGTGACCTTTGAAATGAATACACCACAGGGACCTCCACGTGGGCACTTTACAACACAGACCCCTATGCGTTGATTGGAGCCTATAGGAGTCTGAAGCGTTTGCCAGTCCGCAGGGGATGGCAGAGTGTGCCATGAACTACATTTTATATTATAATTGCATTTATTGGAAAACTGCGCACTGTAATCTGTGACTTACATCCAGTGAATAAGATATGAACATCTTTTTAGGCAGTGTTTCCTGCATGCTCTGTGCTTGCTATGCCATTAAAAAATGGTCTAGAAGCCAAAATGAAAAACTCTTTGTGGAATGGAATGACTCAGATCATCTATCATGCAATCTAGATAAACCACCCAGAGGAGTGTTAGAATCTTCATAACTTATTACTTGCTATAATGTTAAAAGCCCATTACAATGAGGTCTAAGAACTTTCCACATTTTTTTTGCAGCACCCAAATCGAGTTTTAGTTAGTATTCCTCTAATTAATTGAACACCAATTTTAAATTATACATCAGTTTTTCTCTGTAAATTGTCCTTGTTATAAAGGACTTCATCATGTATTTGTTTCATCAGGAAAAGGCACGCTTGAGCTGAAGACACCAGATCTTTTGGGTTAAATATGTCAAAACTTGAATTGCTCAAATAAAACTTTCCCTAGTAACTTAATGGGTCGTGTAGCTCAGTAGTAAAAGAAGAACCATCTCAACAGGTTCCCATGCTCCTTAAAGTACACTCTAGGCTGCTGTCCTCTAATCTCTCTCCTGCATGCTATTGGGACTCATGCATGTGCTGAGCTTGTTGCATGTTTTCAGATGATTTTTAATTGCACCTCTCTAGGAGATGTACAGCAGCTGCACCAGTCTTTCCTCTAACACGCTGACTGAAGAGCGTCTGCATAACTCTGCACGGTACGTGGTGTCAGGGGCTGCACGGTGCGGCTCTGCCATGCCTTTGCTTTCAGTTGCATGAGCTTTTAAATCATGGACCTGGAGCACCTTTCAGCAGGGGATGACACCAAGGAAGAAGAAAATCACACTCTGCTTCAAACAGCAGCAGGCACAGACTGGTAACTGGATCTTAGAAAGGTTGCTAGTCCTCCATTGAGGGGCTTTATTCCAGCATCAGTCAGAAGAATCTACTCAGTCCACAAACTTGCTGTGTATCCTAGTTGACTTTGGCTTTCAGTCTTTGTTTTACTGGAGTCAAGTACCAAGTAAGTATTGAAATCAAATTTCCTGTCATGGTGGAATGAGTCAGCCTCCAGTCAGAATCAGAACTTTGAAACGGAGCTGGAGTTTTATTTCAGTGCTGATTATAGACTGAAAGCTCCTTTCATCACCATTCTGCTGATCTCAGGAGAAGCAAGGTCCTGCTGTTCTGAAATTTCTCTAGCTTAGCATTATGAACCACGATTCCAGGCTCTGAGTAGTCTTAGGAGTTCACGCCAATAAAGCAAGGGTCTTTCTCAAACAAAACGTTTACCATTCAAAACGCATGGACCGTGTACATAGAAGAGAAAGGATCATGTCCCCAGTGACTGGGGCACCTCCGTGGGCACAGTCCTCCTGCAGCGTAGCTTTCGTCCTCCCAGAAGAATGTGCTCAGTTTCCCGACAAGGCAGGAAATGGGAGGAGGAAAAAGAGAGCAGCCAAAGGGAGTCAGTGCAGTCAGTGTCTCTTAACTGGTGTATTTCAGAAGAGGTAAACCCCCAAACCCATTTTACAAGACTACAGCTTCTAAGTCATTTAAACTAATTGAAAAATCATGACATGCCATTCAGCACTCTTCCAAAATCCTCCAAAGAATTTGGGGGGGCAGGTGTATGTGTTGTGGGTATGAATTTTAGTTGAGAATACTAAGGTGCAAAGAAGTAACTCTCCTTTCCTCCCCCCCGCAAATCTAATTTAATCTGCTCTAGATCTTTTTTCAGGCTACAGGGAAATTAAATCTCAGTCATTTTAGGGGATGCTTATAGGGGTCTCATTAATTCAGTATGTTAAAGGAAGAGCCTTGGAGCTTCAGTATTTACTGGTCACCAGTGGTCCAACTTGGGTCAGGCTCACACGTTGCCCGAAGCCAGGCGTCTGGACTGCTTCCGGCCACACTGGGGCAGGAATCTTGGCCAGTGCTGAGAACCCAATGCCTGAGGTGGGAAGAGAATAGGAAAAAAAAAATCCCCCTCCCAGACATTGGTATTAGGCCACTTCTGTTTCTCCTAACTTAGGTTTCCCACCCATACCATTCTCTGTCCCCATCTTGGGTTGTGTGTATCTTCTGGCCCCTGGACAATTCTGCTTTTGTTCTTAAACAGAAGTCACCAGCAATACCCTGAGGCAAGGAAGCACAAGGATTTGGCAAATTCCTTGAGAGGGAGAAGGAGAATCCCTTTCATTTCTTCCAGACTCTTACGGCAACTGGGAACAAGACAGTTAGTATCATAGTAGATCGTCCTACCAGAAGTATTTGATTCTAGCAAGGGAACATAGCTGAGCAATCTACAGTAATAGGATTACAAAAATCAGAGCACAAAATGAGGTCATGGGGCTGCTCAGTTATCTGACACTAGGTTAACACTTTCCCATTCAGCCTAAGGAACAGTCCTTCTGATGGCTCAGTTTGAAGCTATCAGATTCACTGGCTTTACTTATTAAAATAATAGAGTTTAATTTGAGCAATACACACTTAGAAATCCCAAAATAAAAGTATTCAGTGTACTTAAATAAGCATTTTGACCCTTCCCTCACGACCTCATAAATGAACCTATACTTCATCACGGTTTTAGTTTGGCACATATTTCCATAGAAAGTGAAAACCCTAGCTCTTTTCATGTTATAAAGGAGAGGTTTCTCTGATTCACTCATAATCATACAGAGGCAGAGAGAACTGGCCTGGTTCACTCCTTAAATAAAGCAAGGATGGATCTCTCTAGTTAAAAATTTCTTAAAGATTCCTCTAAGAAATTAAGACTACAAGATGAATATGGGCCCAGAAAACATCTAATTTACTGCTTGCCTCATTTTGCCTATGGGCTCCCCACTGTAAGAAGGAAAGACACCCAAGTATTCATCTATCAGTAATGATTTCAAATCTTGGCCTAAGAATTTGCTTGAAGGCCAAATGGTCCCTGTCACGTAGCAGGGATTGCCCAGGGTCATATGACTTTGGAAACTCATGTTAGTCATTGGGTTGGAGTTGACACCAAACATTATTGCCACAAAATGGCCCTTTCAGTATAGCCCTGGGAAAAGGAGTGGAACAACGAATCCCAGTTCCAAGGACATGCTGGGATTCCATCTTAGTTCCTAAGAAATTTTTATTTTTCCTGTTAAAGGAAAAGTAGAGACACTAAATAAAACATTTTAAAGAATGTCAGCTCTGTGAGGGGGTTCTGTTTGCTATTTATTTTTCCAAATTGGTCACAGCTTGATAGCAAAGAATCTAAATTTCTTTTGAATGCCCTTTAAAATTAGATTCAACTCTATTACTTTGAGCAGCTTTCCCACTGTGATTCAACTGCAGAGGATAACTTGGCTTATAACAAGCAGATTCATCTCTACTTTATCCTACAAAGGACAAGTTGGTTTTAAGTTATTACAACTCCAAGGAATGTTTGCAATTACTGGTCTTAAAATGCCAATGAAACATTCATTTCCCGGAGTTTAAGTCCATTTGAGATCAGTAACACATGAAGTGAGCACTGATTCCAGTTACCGATAGGCAGAGGGCGTTAACCCCTGGCCACCACCAGTAACACCCTCTCTGACCACAGTGACACTATTGCCTGAGGGTTAGCACCAGGAAACCCCTGATCCTAGCACCAGCATTAGCATAGACTCCTTAAAAAGACATTAAGCAATAAACACCATTAGTGTGGGTTTTACTGCCGAGGAATTGGCCACCCTGGGAATTATATATCCATAGCCAAGAGCTACTATCAAATATGTTGCATAGATCTCAAGGTGGTTCACCAGCCACTTCAAAGAGAGTGGTCTGCTTAGCCTGTGGTGAGGTGACATCTACTATGGAACAATCATCTGCTATGCCCAGTAGAAAGTCAGAGTTTAGGATACCCTTCCCCTACCCCCAGCACACACACACATACATTTCCTTATTGTCAGGACAACATACTTAACAAAAAATGAGCAAAGATGTGGAAGACATTGGGAAGTAGACGTGGGGCCCTGACTGAAACCTGGTCCCAATCAGAGTGTGTCCTCAGCCCCACTGAATGGCATCTACAGAATCATAATGGGAAAATGCAGCCAGCACAGAAAAGAGTCCCTGATGCCACTGAACAAATGTGTCCTTGCCACAATTTTTCGTATATAATCAAATAACCACATTTTAATCTTGCCTTAATTTTTTGACTTTAAAGTGTTAACATTATTTTTAACCTATACACTGGATTCTTGAAGGGATCATGGTATAAGTACTGAACCATGCAGGTGCTATCTGGGTATGTGTTGAGTGCATCATTCTAGAGGCAGACAGAATATTACCAATTCAACAGTTCAGAAAATTGAATTAAAGCACTGATACTAAAAAGGTATTCAATAAAGCAGCTGGTGCTTAACATAATAGATATTCGAGTTTCAGCTCAGAATCCCTAGTTTCAAGTTCCGAGCCCTGATCTACAGTATGTTTTTCTGTATTTTCATTTCTAACCTGCTGGCACTGGAGTTCAGGGCCAGTCAGCCAGGTCCCTGGCGTGGGGTGATTGCCTCAGCTCCAGACACTCCTAGAGCTGCAGTTCTCCTCCCTCCTCACTTCCTCAGGTGTCCTGTGCTCCTGTACAACTCCTGTCCTGCCCACCCCCCCCACCCTCCTCAAGGGTTTAAATTAGTTCCAGAAGGAAAACTCTTCATACTAAAGCTTTGTGCCTGTAACTCGGAGGAGACGAGGAGACTCCACACTTGAACCATTTCTTCACATGAATTAAGCGACGGTTTCTTCCTAAAAACAGGCCAAAGTTTGGGATGGTCATTGACCTTTGCATAGTAAATTACAGAGAATTGTCTGCTAATAAGGTAGATTCTTGTGTGTAGAGAAAAATGCCCATGTTTGGGGGAATAGTTAAAATGATCATCTTTCCAATGCTAAGAACAACTTAGCAAACTCTTTATAAAGGCTGGCAGAGTTCCCGGGATTTATGCAAGTCTTTCAAACAGAATTGCTTTTCACAAGCTCCTTACGCACTCTGGGAAAAGAAAAAGCATGTTTTACCACAGGAAGACAGTGAAACCAGGTTTAGTATCAGAGTGCGATAAATCGAGATATAGAAAATGCTATTGCAAGGGAGACCCCATGTACTGTCTGGAATCACTGCCCTGGGGGCAGGAAATGAACGTGTGGAATTTGCGAACACACATCAACCAATGGTAGGAGGGTACGGAGAAGAGCCCTGCCTTGGAAACCAAAATCATCCCGCCAGAACACATCCTTTCAGCATGCTAAGTCTGGTTTCAGGTAGTCAGAAAACCTGAGAACAAACAATACACTTCACCTCTACTCTCTTTTTCTCACCCCGCAAAGAGCCAGTTTTGAATGGTGTGGCCTCAAAGCAGATGGATGTTCTGTTAGTGTGACTGACATTAATATTTGCATCACACATCTGCAGCCACTGGGGCGTCTTTGTACGTTAGAAGAGCAGAGCCTCTCTGTAAACACTTAAATCTGGAGTTTTAAAGAAGCGATAGTTTGGTTGAGGTTTAAAAACACCAGAGACTTTACCCAGCCACTGCCACCCTCCAGTACCTTCAAGCATCGCTGCCCGAGTGGTCCTTGGTGCTCTTCCTCCCTGAACGCCACACCGAGAACAGCATGGATGATCTCCCCGAGCTGGATTGCCAGGCCGTTCATTTCAACACCACTTTCAGCTCTAAGCCTTTCATTTTTCTGTGCAAGGGTAGTGCTTGGTCCCTTCACTCAGGGAGATCATAATCAAGGGAGAATAAAAAGAGGATACAATTAAGACTTGGCAAGCTCCATGGAAGGCGTGAGAGCTTTATGATAGCAGTGACCCTAAATAACACCCCCATTGTATGTCCATTTACAGCCCCAGTGTCTAGCTTGGTGCCGGGTGCATGGCAGAAACTTCATAAATATTTGGGGAAAGGCAGAGCGAGAAAGAAGAAAAGGAGGAAGAAGAGGAAAAAAGAAATAAGAAACAAACAAAAAGGACTGAGCCTCTCATCCCACGGGGTGTAGGGAGAAAATAGTGTGTCTTTTATCAATCTAGGCCTTCTGGTCACAAGTCTACCTACCTACAGTGAGTTTCAGTCTGGGTACTTCGAGTATAAGATTTCATACTTTGAACCAAAATCCCATTTTTTAGTAGATGGGATTTATGGCAGTGCTCTCAGTAAAGCTCCAAGGGCGATCACAGAAATAGCAAGGCCTCTATGTCAGCCACCAGTGGAGATGCAGTGCCCGCTGTGGGCCGTTGTACACTGACCTGTGAGCTGCCGCCTGGTCACCATGGGCTATGGAAACATGGAATCCATGCCTCGATGAGTCAGCAAGCTAGATTGCTTGAAAAACTGTTATTTAAATTTAAGTCTTTTCTCCTTTCCAATTTTGGTCACTCAGAATGTGATTTCATATCCAAAACTGAAATCGAGGAGCAGCAAATTATCTGAATAATTCATACCAGAATTACCCGAACACTTTTGTTCTTTGAATACTGGTAATTCAGTACTAGATAATTGAAGGGCTCAGGGAGGATTGAATTATCCTGATATTATTCAGATAAATGCCTCAAGTTAACATTTTACTTGCTAACGACTCAGCTGCAGTCATGCTAGGTTTTGTCCTGCAGAAAGAGTGTTCAAAGTGTTTTTCATTTTAGCACCCTTTACATTAAAGCAGAAATGCCTCATCAAAGTCTAAATGACATTATCCTTAGACTTCTTTTTAAGTTAATTTTTTGTCAAAATAGTATACTTATAATAGTAATGCTATTTAGTATATTAAAATGCTAGTATTAGCATTTAAACAAAAACTGGCTTCCCCTGTGCCAAATCCACTCCATTCCCTATTCTCACTCTCCTGAAATCAACCATTTGCTTTCCCTTCAGATGTTTTCTTTAGTATTCTCAGTTTCTAAATAACATGCTCATACAGATTTTCAGTTTCAGATATTATCCCTGTTATCTACGGGCATCCTACTAATGAAGATAAAAATAATGATAGAACTTATAAACAATTATAAAGCACTTACAGTGTCCCAGAGAATATTTCAGGCACTTTACACATATTTACTATTTTAATCTTCACAATGACACTATGTGGCAGATATTATTATTATCCAAATTTTGCGTATTGGAAACTGAGGCATTGAATGATTGTGTATCTTGCCCAAAGTTACATAGTAATGATGGTCATAAAGTGTGGAATCAGGATTTGAACTCAGTCCTTGAGGCTCCTAAGTCCATATTCTTAACAATGAACCAAATTAATCTAGTTCTGTGTTAGCATCCGGCTCTGCTCACACACACACACCCCTACTTCCTCTTCCTCCCCCTACCTCCAGTGATACAATATAGTGTATCACTCTTTAGGGTTAAATCAGTATTTGGTATTTATTATTATTATGATAATTTAAATAATCACAGAGAATCTCTGTGTTGTGCTATATTACATTTTCTTTCTTATACAACTTTATATATCCTCTGGAAATAATTTTGATTTCTTAATTTGTAATTCATTTCTAAACACTCTGCTGAAGACAAAAACCATCTTTCACACCTTCAGACAGCTCAGATGTCTCTCAGTTTCTCTCTGTTCATGGAGAACCCCTTTTTCCTCCTGCTGCCGTCTGCACTTCTGCCATCTGGCACTGCTACACGTCTGTCATCCTGGCATCTCCCACGTGCACCGTCTTGAGATTCCTTTTGCTTCTCCCCTGTCTGTACTCTATTTCCTGAATCTGGCTTTTCCTTTTATTGGGTTTATTCTCGTGCTTCAATAAATGTATCTTCCCAGCCAAGGGAAGGTGAATAGGTGCTAAATTTTTTGAGACCTTGCATGTCTGCAAATATCTTCAATTTACTGTATTAGGAGTGTTTGGCTAGGTATAGAATTCTAAGTGAGAAATTATTTTCTCTCAGGATCTTGAACACATCATCTCATTATCTTTTGCTTCCAATGTGTCTGTTGAGAAGTCCTGTTATTCTCTGCTGATCTTTTGGAAGCTTTTACGATTTTCTCGTTAGCCCCAATATTTCGATTTCTTGATGCTTTGCCATAATATGGATTCCTTTTCATGCCTGGGCAGCAGGCTGTTTCAGTCTGGAACTGTAAGTGCTTCATTTCTGAGAAATGTTTGGTATAATTTCCTTGAAAATGTTCTCGCCTCCAATTTCTTTGTTCACTCTTTCTGGGAATCCTCTTGTTCTAACGTTGGACACACTAGGCTGATCCTCAAATTTTCTAACTATTCTTCTCTATTCATACTTTGGCTTGTTCTAGTTGACTTTCTAGGATATTTACTGAAATTTACCTTCCAAT